GGCGACCTGCCGCGGCGAGGATTCGGGTTTAGGGTTTTCGTTTTCGGGTTCAGTGCTTTAGGTTTCAGGGTTTTACGGTATTAGGGTTCTAGGGTTTTAGGGTTCAGGGTTCAGGGTTTTTAGGGTTTTTAGGGTTTAGGTCTTAGCCTGTATGCGGCAGGATAAATTCTACTAAGAAAAATGAAGCTACTATAGGGTTCAGGGTTTAGGGTTTAGGCAGTATATTCGGATTCTATTGGGAGAATGGAAAAGAAAATGGAAACTAATAGAGTATAGAGGGGCAATATTGGGTTGACGGAAAAGAAAACGGAAATTATTAGAGCATATAGGGGCTGTATTGGGATAGTGGAAAAGAAAATGGAAAGTATTATTCAGGGTTTGAAGCTGAAGGGGAAAGTCTAGGGTGTTCTGCAGGCGTTCAAGGGTCTACCCTGCACTGCATCGGCACTACAACCACTCCCTGGTGCTTAGCAGGGAAAGGGGGAATGGATCATGAGGATTATTATTGTGGAATTTGGGTTTAGGGCTTGGGGCTTAGGGTTTAGGAATGGATTATCGGGATTATTATTGGGGACTATATAGGGACTACTATAGGGATCCATTCCCCCATTCCCTACTAAGCACCAGGGAGACCATTGAAAGGAAGCTGTCGAGCCTTGATTTCCGTTTGCCTGCATGCAACATACTCCCTGCGCCAGACTTCTCAGCGAGCTTATGCCGCTATTTCTGGGGAATCAAGCGCAGAAGCGTAGCCATTCCGTAACCTCAACGAAGCTTTTGCCCAGGCAGGGTCTTTGCTTCCGTGCTATGTGTTGCGGTTAGGACGGGCAGCTGATGTCAGAAAAGCACGGTATGAGATACGAATTTACGGGAACCTGAAAGCACAGCATTCAGTGAGCCCTCCAGCACATTGAATCCAGAACACCAGCAATGCTGTTTGAAGGAAGGAGTGGCTGCCGGAATGTTGAGCTATAGTCTAAACTTCATAGAGGGGGACAATGTAGGGGGTTATATAGGGAACCATATAAGATACGGTTTAGGGTTTAGGGTTTAAACTCCTTAAAGGGGGATAATGTAGGGGGTTGAATAGGGGAGTATTATAGGCGCGGGATATTAGGAGTTTAGACTATAGCTCACATGCAGCATTTAGGATTTTCAGCAAGGAATCACGGCCTTTCAAACCGGTTCTTCATGTGCCCCAAGTAAATGCGGTTTAGTGTTTAGGGTTTAGGGCTAAGTAGTTTCCATTGGATATTCAATTTTCTTTTCCACTTGGTCCTCCATTATCTATATACTACTATGTTCACCATTTTTGTTATGGTTAGTACTATCACTAGTACTACTATTATCATTGGTATTACTATTGCTACTACCATTATTCTCGTTATTATTCTTAATTGTATCATATTGCGTTGTTCTGATTTTGTATTATCATTGCTACTATTACTATTCTTCTTTGAATTATCATTATGCTTACGATCATTGCATGCTAGGAGTCCTTGGATCATCTCCGAGCTTCATGGAGGCGCAGGCAGGGAAGCAGTCATGAGATGAGCCTAAGTAGCTAAGCCTTAATATGCTTTTACACAGTTTAGGGTTTAGGGTTTAGGGGCTATGTGTCCCCAGAATGTCCAAAATAACCGGGAAAATAACCACCCATATGCCCTCACAAAGCTAATGAACCACAAGATATACCATTATATACCACAATATACGATAATATACTATAACAAATTGCAATTTTCTATCATATACCCAACAAGGGAGCCCACCTCTCTGAAGGGTCGAAAGCCAGAGGAGCGCTGGGAGGCGCCAGTTTGGGGACGCAGGCTCCTCCCTGAACCCTGCAAACCCCTAAACCCTATAAACCCTATAGACCCTATAAATCCCTAAACCCCATAGACCCTATAAACCCTATAAACCCCCAAACCCCTAAACCCTAAAACCCTTAAATCCCCCCTGCACATGGAAGGGTGTTCAGCCTTAGGAATCCTCCACCGCCCCTACTTGGAGGGTCAGTGGGGGCTTAGTAAGTAGGTTAATAGCCCCTATAACCCATATAGTAACCCTAATTATCCCCATTGTTACCCTACGTTCTAGGTTGCCCTGACCCTCCAAGTACGCATCCCACATCCAGGGACAAGTCTCCAGATCAGTAGGGCATGCCAGTGCATTTCGTTTTGGAAGGAGATCAACTACAAGCTGGACGATCCGACTTCCGTGAAAGACTTCCTCCTGGCTTCCAACACGCGCTTGGTGCGAGCCGAGTGCCCCTTCGGACGGCTCACCGAACAGGTCGCAGCAGAAAGCTTGACGTTTATGTTCGTCTTGCCAGGTACCTGTGGTACCTCCTGAAGGACTGTGACTCATGAAATCTGATTCCTGCACGGGGATGCCTTGGGTGCCCAAGCTGCCAGGAGGGACGGACGCTGCCACGGCGACAAGAAGCTGACGAAGCAACCTTCGTTGATGCAACCTCTGGCAGAACCCTCACAGCACTCGTAACCAAGGAAGACGTTGCGAGCTGGCAAAGCGAAAATGATGCCTTCATCATGGCGGTGAGCCACTGCTGGGAAACACGGGAACACCCGGATCCGACCAACTATCAAGTTCGGCATGTTTGCAATTACACGTCCTTGCATTACGCGGCATACGGTAAGCCAATTTGGCTGTTCTTCGACTACACTTCCCTGTACCAATACCAACGCCAGACCAAAGAGCAAGAAAGCAGCTTTAGAAGCGCCATGTGCAACATGCATGTACTTTACTCGCATGAGTCTACCTACACGCTGCGCGTGCAGTCACTGACCCCACCGCATGTGTGGGAAAAGCACCTGGACAAGCCTGTTCACGTTTATGATGCGCGGTGCGGCTGTATGAAGGACGTGCCTTTGCGTGAGCTCACAAGAAACGAGACACCTGAGAGTGCGGAGGCTCGCAGCCCATCCAAGAAAAGGCGCAAATTACTGCGCAAACCCAAAGGAGCTCCCCCTCTTGCTGGGGGTGGCGGGACTGCCACTGGTCCCCCAAAGGACGGAGGACAGGGCAAACCTGCTGTGGAGGAGACCGGCCCCAAGGCTAAAGCCAAGCCGAAGCCAAAGGCAAAGGCTCCGCCTACATCAGCTGGCGCGGCCCGCAAGGATAACCAGCCGAGTGCCAGTGTCGGTAGCCCCCCCACGCAGCCCAAGCTGGCACTCCGCCAGGCTGATTGGACTGGTGAGCTCGTGGGCTACGAGGAGTTGGCTGATTACAAAGGTAAAGGCCCTATTTTGGTGCATGCTGTCGATGAGGCGCAGGCGATGGCAGCTGACATACTGGCATCGCAGGTTGTGCCCACAGTGTCTCGGGCGGTCGTGTGGGAGGACAAGGATGGCACCATTCAGGTACCATTCCATGTCCAAGGACGTGTGGTGCTGCGACGAGTCAAAGCCATTGAGTACAAACATGACGTTCAGCCGCTGCCCTCGCTGAGAAACCTGACTGAGAAAACCAAGAAGGTCTCGGCAAAAACTGCGGTGCTTAGGATTGTGGCGGTCAAGACGCTCATGCAGCAGCAGGATTTCACGGAGGTCAGGGCCAATGCCAAGCGTTACCTTCAGCGCAAGTTCAATCTTCTGAAGGACGTCTGGGGCATGGCAGAGGAGAAGAGGTACGGTGATGCAGTAGTGGGACTCGTGCGAGTTGACATGGGGCAGGTTGGGCTGCTCATGAAGGGCTCAGGCACAGATGGGGTCTTCTTCGAGCCCACTGCGGATATCAAGAAGCCGGTGCAGGTGCAGTGGCTCCAGAAGGCTGAGGATGAGGGCGACAGAGACTACTTGCTGCGGGCACTCAAGCAGAGGCCCGAGCTTGGGGTCACCATTGGCAGGAGTCAGCTCGGACTGCGCTCTAGTGTTGAGCCGTCTAAGGCCATGCGCACTTGGCGGCTCCAGCGTACCCCGGTGTACTGGACTGATGATTTGGTGTTAGAGATTCTGGCGGAGCAAACCACCATGAAGAACGCAGAGGTCAGATCCAAGATTACTCGCAATCACAAGGCGACCTGGATAATCCGAGGGGCCTCGGAGGATGACTTTGCCCAGGTCCGGGTTGACGAGGAGGGTAAGGTGCAGTCATATTGGGTCACCCCGGCTAGTGGGGGTCAACGTCGTGGCCCTGGTCAGCGTACAGTTCTGCGACAGGGGGCCATGAACTTTGCGCGCGACCAGTTTGGCAAGCACCTTGCTACAGGAGATGTTCAAGTACAGCAGCCGGATGCGGCCATGACAGGCGACACGCAGCAGGCGGAAGGGACGCCGTCCAAGAAGCAAGCTGTTGAGCAGCGCAAGCTGCCGGAAGGCACTACCTTGGATACCGTTCCTGGGGATGGGGCGTGCCTGGTTTCCTCCCTGGCGAAGGGCATTGCGTATCAGAAGCCTGGGAAGCTGGCAATTCCAGGCACCAGGCTGCGTGCTGAGATTGTGGCTCACATGTGCCGTGACAAGCATAAAGCCCGTTTTGCAGCTTTTTGGGATGGGCTCGCGCCTGATGGTAAGACCAAGTTGGCGAACTTTGACCAGTACTTGGACCAAGTCCGGCAGCCAAAGTCCTGGATGGGACACCTTGAGCTCATTGCGGCCGCCGATGTGTTTGGGTTGACCATCTATGTGGTGCCACGGAATCCTGGTCACATTCCGTGCAAGTTTGGTGTGGGGCCATTTCCGGTGGCCTTGTGGTACACAGGCGAACACTATGACTACATCAAGCCTGACGACCACTACCCCATTGCCATCACCAACATTGGGGCTGAGGGATCCAGCAAGGGTGGCAGAGGCGGAGGGGACATAAAAGCGGCTGATAGTGACGCGGTCTCCACCCGCTCATTGGGGCAATCTTCTTTGCTCACATTGTGGACTCGGGATAGCCGGGGACACCCCAAGGTGCGGGCTAAGACGCCTCTCAAAGCGCCAGGAACGCAAGCAGCCCAGTCAGAGGCATGCGAGCACGCTGAGGGCCGCCCATCGTCAGGGAGTGCCATCAACACTGAGGAGGAGCAGAACAATTTGATGTCGGCAAGGGCGGGCGACACTCAGCTCAGTGGTGACGAGGAGTCTCCTCGCAGCATGCCATCAACGCCGGAGCCGCTGATGCCTGAGGCTCCTCCACCACGGATCGGTTCTCGAGGAAGGCTGCTGAAGCCGAAGCGGGAGAAGAGGAAGGAGTGGCAGTGTCGGTGGTGCGATTTCAAGACTTCGGGAGCTTCTATGCGTTCCATGCGCTATAACCACCTCTTGAAGTGGCATCCTGAGCGCCGGGCTGAGTGGGATGAGCGTTCACTTCCACCGCAGCATGCATGGAAGGATGTCTGCGATGAGGGCAATTTTCTCTGGAAGTGCAAGCATTGCAACCGGGGCATCGTTGATGATGGTGTGGAACGAGACAAAAATGCGCTGTACAGAGCCAGGGTAGCTCACTGGAAGGAGGCGCATCCTCAGGCCCCTCGCAAGGACTTTCTCGCGGATCCAGGGGAGAAAAAGACAGGTGTTAAGAAGGCCACTCGCAGTGTCATCGCGGCGGCAGCGTCCAGGATGGTACTTCGTGTCAAGAGCGGTGAGGCAGGGAAACACAAGGTTGAGGCGGTTCGTATTCCGGTGCCGGCAACTAGGAGCCCCGGCAAACGCAAGTCGCAGGTGCTTCTGTTCTGCACCAGCTGCACTGCCACTGCACCAACAGTCAAGAAGCTTGCTGAAATCGAGTGTGTGCCTGGGAGTGCTTCCAGGGGTTCTCCCAGGGATGGTTTCATCGCCAGACTTCAGGGTTATCTTGATGAAGACCATGCGGAGGAGCTCCTGATCGGGGTGAGGCGCTTACTGAAGGTTCTGAAGCCATCAGTTGGGGCCGATGCCGGGGTCAAGCGCCCCAATGAGCAGTCCAAGGTTCATGAGTGGGATGCGTTAGCCTGGCCGCAACACAGCAGAGGTACGTGTTCTTTCCAGGTCAGGATTGTGTGCAGGGCCTGCCGGTTGTCTGGTTCCACCAAGCCTGAATTGCAAAGGAAGCCATGCGTGCCAGGGAGATCATGGTCCACTCATGTCGCCAAGCATGTTCAGTCCATGCGTAGGTTTGTGGCTGAGGGGCCTCCCGAAGCTGTTGAGCCCGCTAAGAGAGTTCTCAAGTGGTTGCAGGCTTCATGTGAGGTCGCCCGTGCGGAGGTTGAGGTTCCAGCAGGGCTGGCGCCGGTGGAGGAGGGCGTGCCGAGCTCATGAGGGGGCCATTTCAGGCCCATCACACTGAGGCGCGACTAAGGGTAGGGACGCTCAATGTACAGACGATGGCGGGGCGCTTGGCAGCAGTCGCTACGCTTGCTGACCTGCATGGGGTGGGTCTTTTGTGTTTACAGGAGACCAGAGTGCCTTCACATTCTTGGGCAGCGGTTGAGGCCGCCGCCACTGCAGCAGGATGGCAAGCTTTTCCAGGAACGCAAGGCGCTTCCATCGATGGCAAGCCGCAGCATGGCACTGTGGTTTTGTCTAGGGAACCAGCCGACATTTTCAGGCTACCGTCGGATTTGTTGCCTTCAGGCAGGGGGATGGCAGTGCGAGTGTTCCGTGCAGGAGCTCGCCCACTTCTTGTCGTTAATGTTTACCTGCCCGCTGCTTGCCAACGTGAGGCCAAGGTTTTGGCTTCGAAGGTCATGGAGTTCGCTTCAGGACTGGGCGAGGATGTGATCATTTGTGGTGATTTCAATCTGGAGGCTTCCCAGGATCCCATGGCCGATGCTAGGGCCACGGGTCGCTGGAGGAGTTGTGATGAGGACATTGTTGGGGATGCCGAATTGCCGGGCACGCATCGGATCAATGGCGAGCTAACTGGGCGAAATATTGACTTCGGGCTTGCTACTATCAGGATGCATGCGTACTTTCGAGGGCAAAGCCGCGGGGTGGCGGATCATGATCTGGTCTACTATGACTTTGCTGCCCAGTTGGATCATAGACCTATGCCGGTGGCACCCTGTCGGCTTAGGCTGGAAGAGCGCGACGTTTTGGAGCAAGATGCCATGCACAGATGGAGGGAGGCTTCTGACACCTTTCATAGTTTACGGGCTCAAGGCGACATTGACGGGGCTTGGCATGTGCTGAGTTGCTTTGCTGAGGATCTATTGGCCGCATCTGGAGAGTCTCATGGAGTTTCTGGGCAGGCCTTTCACCGTTCGGACCCTTGTGGTCCTTGCCCTAGGCCAGCTACTTCCACTAAGGCCCCCGCAGTCCAATCGCATGCTGAACGCCGTCTCAGGCGTTTTGCGCGCCGTGTGCAGGCTCTTATTGGTATTCGTCAGGGGCTTGGGGGTCTAGGGCACAGTGCGGAGGAGGAAGCTGCCAAGTTGAATTACAAGATTGCCCGCGATGCAGTTGAACTGGGGCTTCAGGCCCAGACCCTGGTTGAGTTGCGGGATGAGGCCCTGGGACTAGCAGCTGAGATGGAGCGTAGCGCCGTTCAGCGGCGCGTGGGACAATGGAAGGCCGATCTACAAGGCAATTATAAGCGTATGGCAGCGTGGGTTGCGAGGCCTGCGCCGAAGCCGGAAGGACATGATAACTTCGAAGCCCCAATTCACCCACTTGACAGGGCGGAGCAGGAGCGAGACAAGTGGGCCACATTGTGGGGGCGCGAGGCCCCGCA